AATCACTAGCTCTTGATGCTTAGTGTATAATGATTCACCGCGAATCGAGCAAAGACCACTCGAAGACAGACGATCGTTTACGTCGGGGTGCATTGGTGCTAAACGGTAATGCAAGATCTAGGAAGAGCAGGTCACGGAATTTGAGATTGTGAATATGACACAGGGGCATTACTTAATGTTGAGACTGACAATTGGATGGAAATAAGGACCTTCTGATGAAATTATGAATGCACATGCGGCTTTATCAAAAGGGAGGTAGATAGCTTGAATGGCGTGATGAAATTTCAGGATTTGAACTAGCATGGTAGGTAGGATGGAGCATGAGAAAGAAGAAACGTAATTCAAACTTCGAGCTCCGACGGATGATATGGCACGAGAGGAGGATTAAAGAGTTCTGGACTCGCGTTGGTTACACAAGCATGAAGTTGAAACGTTGAAGTAGAAATATTAGGATAGAGATCAAACAGAGTCTTAGACAATATCTGTAGGTCTTTGAGACCGCCTATCATGCCTATTTCAAGCTTCATGCAGGCAACTCACTAGGGATAGTTTTTTACAAAAAGGGTTGTATCATTCATGGGCCTCTACCTCCTAAAACTAGAAATGTATACAGAAGTATCACCACATCGGAACCACGGGTGCCAGGAATAGAAATCGTGCCGAAATGCTGATCCGATAACGGAAGAGTAATGGGCAAGATAGCCCATTCAATTCGCTATCTCTTTTACCCTCAATTCTCTACACAATCTCTAATCTTGGAAAATAAAGATATTGACACGTGCGGGTCACACTACATGAGCCAAATGCGTGATATGCTTATCGTTTGTGACATTCGCGATTATCAGATGCCTAATTGTAACATAGGACGAAATCTCCGTTGCCTCGATCGGAATCGATTGCACCAAGTATACACATACAATACAATGCTGTTGTGTTTCAATGTCTATTATTGGTGATGATCATCAACTGAATGATTCAAAACGGCTAATAATATCACTACCGCTCGGTATATTGCAAGCCAGTATTGACGTTGAAGAAAAGCTGGAGAAAACAATGCAGATTATTAGATGTGTAATACGAAGATATGCGGACAAGGGGAATTCAATCAATACTTAAGTTGGTGGTACATCGAGAGGTTGTATTTCGCCAAGAATCTGTATTGTTTGGCGAATGCGAATTTGAGCGGGGGGAGAGGGGTCATATGTAAGTATGGCGTGAAATATACGACGATGATGTTCTCGCCAGCCTTCATAACTGTACCGTTATCTGGATTTGATCTGAGAGGATATGATAGATTGATCGGGAGGTCGGGAGATGGATACTATGCATATATAAAAACCGTCCCGTCTGCAAATACGACAACCTGACCGTTGGCTTCCGTGGCGCGGGATAATATTGATGACAACGGAGTTAGGATTGTGATTAGTGGTTGGTAGAGCTGATGCTGTAGCTTATGAAGGAGCTGACGGATGGTTCAAAAATCGATATAGATCTGCAGTAAATAATAGGGGGCACACATTCTCATCAATTAGGTGACATTTCTTAATTTGTGGAAGCGGAGGATGAATGACGGATAGGTAGGGTCAGGGGAAGGTATCTTGGTTGTAGATTTACGGTATCACTCCGCATTACTAATCAACAACCAATCGCTAGATAATGTCACACCACATATCAGCTACCTATGCTATGCAACTGTGATCTCTGTGTTGATTCCAATCTCATACTCTGTACCTGTACTTAAGAAAACTTGTTGGATTTGTTTGGGAATGAAAGGGGGAAAGTACCAATGTCGTTCAAATATGTGGATCTTCGAATTTTCAAGCGCCCACAGTGGAGCTCAGCGGCGCGGGTTTACCATGGTATCAGGGGCAGCCTATCGGTAATTGCCTTCTAGAAGTTTCATCCTTCCGGTTGGAGAGTATATCTCCGAATCTTACTCAGATGTAGGATCTGGAATTCACGAGTAACTGAATTATAGTACATGAGAGAGAAAAGAATTCATTCCATCAAACAAAGCCGAATATCTCGCTCTCGCAAAGGCAATGAACCGATTCTATTTTGTGTGGTGAAGCAAACACTGGACTGTACGATGAAAAGATCCGGTTCCCCGGATTTACCATTCTGTACATTGAACTGTAAATGGTATCGCGGGTCCCCGCATTGACACACGAGATCTTTTACCTAATATAATACTTTCGAGCTACAGAAGATATCAATGTGAGGCTTTCAAACGGCAAATGCCATGTGTTTGGCGTATCGCTACTGAATGTATCAATTTTGTTAAGTTTTGGTATAGTATAAAGTTCTCGCCTCATCCATCCGTGACCATTACAAGGGCCATGGCTGTGTGTTCCTTTGCTTTGCCAGCGTCAGGCATGGAAGCTGTAACCTGAGATATCATAGTCACTGTAGCGTTGAGTGTAAACGTATCATTGATTTGGTATGAAGATTGAGCTGGCGATTTCTATGACTCCTTTTGCTCACCTCATCCCGTACCCGAGATGAGCGGAAGGTAAGGCCCGTTCCTGTTTCTAATGGTTGGATGAGATGTTGGTATGAGTCGACGAATCTCTCAAAAAGCTGCAAACAAGAATAAAAAAGGTCTTTCCACTGAAACATACCATAATTTACGTACCGACGTCTTGTTTGCACGGTGTAATAGAATATTGGAGATGGATAGTTTGCAAGCAGGCCAAGTAACTTGGTAAGGCCAGGCCCGGAAGATTTTACGACAATAATTCCATCCTTGACGGCACATTCCAGTCTTGTCTCTCCCCATGTTTTCTGAATCAATCTGAGAGCATACTCCACATATAAGGCCGAATGCAGTAAGACTTCAATCATACCTTCATATCCCCTTCTTCAAATTTGACAAGTCACAACGTGGGGGTTTAGGTTGTGATAAATCTGGCAGCAGCCGTCGATGGCATTTCGATATCCAAGACAATCAAAAAAGCTAAAATCTACCTACTCACATAAGCCGAACCCAAATTCTGTTCTCATTAACACAAAATAGAAAGGCGACGAATGAAGAAACTAAATCAACTCATTTTTAGATTGCCAACATCATCGATCGTAACCTTTGGCTTTTTGTACAATGTTGCTTTCGCAGCTTCCCAGCTTCTGCCTAACGTAAACGCTGACGCTCTCCTTCTATATGATTCGGTCAAACATCAATCCACACCGCTATTCGAAAAAGATGAGATGAGAAAACTTTCGGAATCCATAGTGAAGCATATTAATGAACCATTCATATTATATGATAGCTGTCCTTGCACCGTACTGTATGATTACACACATCCCGGTTGGATTTATAGACGGAGATACAAATTGTACGAAGCATTTTGTATTACTACCGATAACACTTGGCGAGATGAAGGGGGTGAACGAAAGTAATCTTACCGAGGAAATTCAACCCGACGAGCCGACCTACAACTGCTGGGAATATGATGACTTCATATTAAAACAGACAACATGTTAAATCTTGGGGGGGGGGGCCGTGATCTGAATACACAATCATCATTTTCTAAAACAATGATATCAAGAGTAAAAAGCAATAAAATCTGAGCCAAGACATGGTACTTACGGGTTCGATGATCCGGAAGCAACGTTAATGAGTAGGATTAGAAAAAGAAAAAACGATCTAAACTCCACTTTCACACTTATCCGTCTTCTTCTCAGGGATCCTCCTCCAATATCCAGAAAATATGCCTGTTAACCCCACGAAATTCCATGCTTTCTCACATATGCAAGGATACAAAACTGTTACAGTAGTGAGGCTGGAAACAGCTCAGCAACACAACATAATCCGATATAGTACATATTCCAAGAAACTGGGGATTATGTTTTAGATTGGATGAGAATCAACGAGATGCAAAAACAACGAATGCAGTAGTATCTCTAGGAGCTTCCCTGTAACAGAGTGACAATTCAACAATTTAGGAGTGTCCGGGGCACTCGGGTTCGAAAGGCTATATGCTATGCTAGTAATACTAGTATGCTATTATTATGGTAGTACGCCGGAGATTTGCAATTTTTATTCTATTTCTTGTTGGTATAGTTGCAATTGTTTTTGCTTTATTGTTTATACTATTCAATTTCCTTGGATTTGTTGCAGAAACCATCGCATCGTAGGATGCCTCAGACCGGTCATTGATCAAAGCCAGTAACGCACGCACAGCATCACGACCGAAACGATCCATAACCCTGGTTTACTAAATTCGAACATTCTTAGATGAGACTGGGGTAAATACTAAATTGTGAGGCGGCTTCCCGAAGGGATGATTGTCTTGAATTATTTTCCTTTTCTTCTTCGGCTTTGCAATTAGCTGTTTCTTTGTCAACATATTTTTTTCATCTGTGCTATGTATTTGATAAGGGGGAATCATACCGGATATGATATGATTAATTTATCAAGGTTTCGTATGGTACTGTATAGCAGCAGTGGATGCAAGATAAATTCATTCGTTTGCCCCCCTCTCCGTCGTTTAGTTTTTGTTTAATTCTTCATCACAATATCGTCCTCTTCAAGATTTGTTGTTCACTCTCCCATCTCACTCAGCCTCATAATCATTACACTATTTTTGCCTCATACCTGCGAGTGCGCCTGAGCAAAGCATCTGTTCGTTGGAAAAGCGTCAAGTGTATCACCAAGTTACCAACAATCAATCCATCCTTCCAGAAGGATCGTAAGCGCTTATCAACCTTCCCCATTTCCCCATACAGAACCAACGCTTTCTGGTGCGTAGTAGCTATCTTCCCCCATTATCTCCAACCAACCCCGAACTGACCCCAAACTTGTTAGCCCACATACAATCTGGGGTAGCACTAGAAAATAATACATAAAGGTCCAAGGTCTCTCAACCTCCTCACCATATTCAAGCCGACCTTCATATCAACCTTTCGACCTTCACACACAAGCGTCCTATACATCAGACCATCATACACCAATACTTCCTCATTCGAATATTAATACAAGTTAATCACTCACATCATTAAACATGCCTTCTCAATCTTCAACCACTACAATGGCCGTACCTGTTCCCCGTCGCCGTCTATCTCCACTTCTTACCTCTTCCACCTTTGGCGAAGACGTCAGTTTCTATCTTGACACCGTCAAAGCGAACTCTAAGAACAAGACTCCATATATCTTCCACGAGAAAGAATATGCTCCACCTGCCCCACCTCCACCATCCCCAATCAACTTCCCCGCTGAAAGTTGGAGCCCCGCTTGTCGAAGATAGATCCTCTCTTCACTAGCAAATTTACATTGGTGGTTTCATCACAGGGGTGTACGTTAGCGCGCATGTAATCATGTGAGGAGGTAGATATATACATTCGATGTATCTTCTTCGTTCGTGATTACCCACCGCATTTTCATTTCGTCGTGTTTCGAATTTCGGCTTTGGTTTCATCATACATTAAGCAACATTTTCTTTAGGTTCATTCATGGAGAGAAGAATATCGCAGATGGCAGACAGTAGCCCGTTCATCAAAGGGAGTTGATTCATTCTTTTACGGTATTCTACACACCATCTCTATCTCGGCAACAACAACAACAACAACAATAGTTACAGCACTATGAATAGGACATCGCTCACGCGTGCATTGGGATTTTCATCAGGAGTTTTAAAAATGGGAGGTTATTATAATGATTCATTAAATTGATTCTTTGGATACTTCGACGGGATATGATATTTTTAGTTATTGGGCTTTGCTTCTCTGGGTTTGCTTTCTTGCTCCTGGCATGAGCGTCTGTACATTTGGAGGGGTAAGGGAATAGCATGGGATGGGATGGAATGGGATAGGATAGGATGGTATTTGGATCCATAGGGGGAAAGGGCAATGTATACTCTATAGAGGTTCTTTTTAGGCAGGCCATGAATGAAAGAGCTATCAAGTAACTCTTTTCCCCTTGACTCGTACTGTGAATGAATGGCCAATCATGATGAACAATCTCTGATCTTTCTCCTTTCTGTTTACCACATATAGAATCCTTACATAGCATATCTACATAGCTACATAAAAGCCCTCATTTACCCCAACCCATCCCGAAAATGTTCCCGTCAACAACTACCCCGAGTCTCACCCCACAAACTCACTATCTGCAAATCCGGGGAAGTAAGGAATACGAACCATGCATGCGAAGAATCCAAACTCAAATCTAGATTCCAAATCTTATTACGATACTTTTTCTGATAGTGGCTTGATAGTGGCTTGATGTTAATAATAAGTAAATATGCACGCTAGCATCATGAACCGAGAAAAGTTAAATGAGGTACCGAACCGGATTCGGCTCGGGAGAAAACTGACGAGAATGCGGATATTTCGGGTTCATTAGCTTTTTGAGAGGGGAAGTTGAGATTGTGTTCATCTAATTGTTTGAGATGAATGCGGAAGTTTCCGTTTTTAGCAAGCTTTTGACTTTGCTATCTCTTCGAGGACGATAGGGCGAAATGGTTATGTTTGTTGGAAACACGTGTTGCACTAGTACTAGCTTGGAGAGCTGGCCTTCACTCAACCTCACACATATTAGTATAGATTGTCAGCTACACAGTATCTAGGTTCTTGGTGTTAACCTCATATCGCGACTTGCTATCCTGGGCATGTACAACCTGTAGGCCCACCAATCCAGAAGGTGGGGGAGATAGTGATATGCACGTGATCGTACGTGATGGTGGGGGCACGGCATGGGAGTGTGACTCAACAAGCTTTTCACTTCTCAGTTTGTTGCTCTCCAGCATTTCAATCACTCTCTATTCACTCGGTGATATTTAATCATGACGGCTACAGATGAAATACCAGGTCAAGCAGGACTTCCATCTCCTAATCCCACCAAATCTTTCTGGCATAGTGAGCCTTCGAAGATCTTATTGGGTCATAGAACTACGGAAAATCTTCCCACGAAAGCTGATGTTGTTATTGTTGGGAGTGGTATTGCAGGGACTTCAGCTGCACATTGGTTAAGAGAGCATGACGATGGAAAGGATCTCAATGTGGTGATGTTAGAGGCGAGAGAAGCTTGTTGGGGAGCAACTGGTAGAGTGAGTTAAGCGTCGTCTCGAGTCTACAATCTATTAGTGTCTGATCACTAACGAGACTAAAAAATTCAGAATGGAGGTCATTGCCAGCCTCTTGTTTATGCTTCACCTCCAGAAGTCGGAGCTTTTGAAGTGAGAAATTATGAGGATATCAAATCTTTTGTGGCGCAAAATGATGTTCAATGTGATTGGAAATCATTATCCAGTTGTCACTCTTATATGTCAGAAGATCAGTTCGAGGCAGCCGTCAAAGCTGCGGAAGCCCTCAAAGATTTGGATCCAACACTAGGCAAATTAGTCACCATTATCACCAAAGATTCTACTAATCCCTCATTATCGGACCTTCGAATTCCCACAGCAGCTGGCGCAATTGCAACCTCCAAAGCAGCCTCGCTCTGGCCGTATAAATTGGTTGCATGGGTTCTAGAAGATTTGATCTCTAAGAACAAATCCTCAAGCCCCCCAAAATTCAATCTTCAAACTTCAACACCCGTAACTGGGCTTCAAAAGTCTTCCTCAGAATGGATAATTCACACTTCTCGCGGCCAACTTTCAGCTCCCAAAGTTTTGTTGGCAACGAATGCTTATACATCGCATCTTCTTCCCTCATTCTCTGATCTTATTACTCCTGTCCGCGGTGAAATGTCTTCTCTTCTCCCTCCATCTACCATGTCCCCGGCCATAGAATCATCAAATAAACCCTTAGAATACTCTTATAGTATTATGGGTCATTTCGATCAAAATATAAACCGAGATGATTATCTCGTTCAACGACCTTTTTCTTCCACATCCTCATCACAACAAGAGTCGGGAGGAGAATTGATGTTTGGCGGAGGTCGCCAATTTGCTGCACAAGCTGGTTTGGGCGTCTCCGATGATTCATCTATCGATCCTCCTGCCGCGAATTATCTCCGTCGAGAGCTACCACGTACACTCAACCTTCATAATAATGAAGAAGAACTTGAGGCTTCTTATGAATGGAGTGGGATTATGGGATTTAGTAGAGATAATTGGCCGTGGGTGGGAAATGTGAGTGAGAAATTGGGAGGGGGAGAAGGATTATATGTTTGTGCTGGCTTTACAGGACATGGAATGCCGACGGCGAGATTGAGTGCTAAGGCAGCTGTAGATTTGATGATGGGAGATAAGATGGAGACTATTGATTTGCCACAGAGGTATGTACTGAGTGAGGAGAGAGTTAGAAAGGCAAGAGAGCTGGATGTGGTTTGTGTTGCAGATGAGAAGGGGGAGTTTTGCTAGAGTGGTGGGTTTGTGGTTTTGGATGGGAGTACTTCATATGTGGGATTTAAGCCCAAAGTGTTGTCCCCTCACTTTCATTCATACGTTCTCTATTCTTTTTAATATGTATTTCCCTATTTTATCCTTTTGTTTAATAAATAAACATTTGAGCGCTCTAAGATTGTTTCTAAAGCCAGATACTTGTTTTCTTACAAATCATTTTCATAATTACCGCAGGGTACTTTTGGACATCATTATCATTGTGTTATTTAATAGTCACTACACCGTATCATACGGGAGATGGTAATTGCAATAAAGATCAACTCTTGCATTGACATTTGAGAAAAAAAACCTCAATCTCCACAACAAACAAGGCTTCTAGGGTTCTTAGTCCAACTTCCCTAGCTCAACATTCCGTTTTTATGAATACCTTGCCGAAGAACTCATCTTTGACGAACACCTCCTCAGAAGGGTTCCTCCTTGATGATCTCGTCCTCGACATCCTCTATCTTGACATTGTCATTGTTGATTACCACCTCTTCAATACTCTCTTCCTTGACGTCCTCCACATCGTTATCCTTCATCACACGCTTCAATTCATCATCTACCCAAACACTATATTCCCAATAGTGTCCCGTATCCTGCAACCTCTTCCGTTCCTTCTCCAACCAATCTCCATACCACAGCCCCGTTTTCCACTCGAGATAAATCAGTTTATCCCATGCAGCCTTCTTCCCTCGTTCCCAATGCTGACGTCGAATAACGCTATTAACCCGACTTCCTAAGTTATCTAGATACTCCTGCACTACCTCTTGATTATATCGCATAATCAAAGTACCGAGACTAGGAACCGCCATATCACACAAACACTCGCGCGTCTCGCAGTAAATCAACTTGCACCTGAAGTTATAAATGCATCGCGCGTTCATTTTGTCGGGGTTGCAGGCGAATTCTGGTTGTAGAGGTATCCAACGTCTGTGTCCACTGCTGTTGATAAACAGTTTCCAGGATCCGTGGGTGTAGAATTGTGAGCCATCGGGATTGAGGTAGTAGTAGTGACCGTTTTCTTAGAAATGGTCAGTTGTGGAATTTATTGGAGACAGCTAGTTGCGGAAAGTGCTAAAAAAAATGTAGAACAAACCGCCGAAATTGTAGTATTTGGCACCTGTGCGCTGCAAAGATGTTAGTCTTTAATGAGCAGTGCAGTGGAGGTGGTACTTTGGTAGCGAGTCTATGTGGAGGTATGTCCATGAAATAGGCTAGAGACATCGCGATATCAAATAGATATTGAATGTTGGTGAGTGATGTTCAGGTGACCGTCGCGAAAGTTCAGTGAGGATATTTTATGAGATTGAATCCTGCAAACTCTGATTCTAGTGGGATTAAATGCTTGAAATATTTTAATGTTTGATCTAATTGATTGTTCTTACAGCGAAAGTTCTACTTTGTTGAGTGGGTGATAGTGAATCTGATGAAAACATGGGCTGAAAGAAAAGAAGCTGTGAGGGTGTGTTTGCGAGGAAGATTTATGAAGAGAATTGGTTGCGATATTGAACCCATTGTGTGCACTTTCACATCTCTTTCAAGTTTCAAAATGCTGAATCTTTGAAATGAAATGAGACCATCAGATACATTCAAGGCTCGATTGGTTCATTATCGTATTTTGTTCTGGAAACCTGTAAGTATTTTCCACACACCACTACCCACATTTCTACAACGACTTATTAATCACTTCCTCTACTGAGATTGGCTGTTCTCCTACATTCGCCAACCTCCCCTTCAAGACACGTATCTTCTCCCGAGTCTCTTCAATTTCCTCTTCCTTACAATGCGCCTTCCCATCTCCTCTCCACCATTCTAAATTCCTCTCTTCCCACTCAATGTCATTCTCAAAATGTTTCTTCCACGCTTTAACCATTTCTGCCCTTTCTCCTTTCCAGTCTCCATGATCAGAAATAGCCCTTTTTAGCATTTCATTTAAATCATTGACTAATTTCATTTTCTTCTCAAGAATAGTGTTTAACATTATCACGTCTTCGGGCTCTTTGTCAGGATCACGATCCCACACCCCCATTCGCAAACGCCTAGAATGAGAATCTAGAGATTCTGTAGCGCTTTCCAGGTTGAGTTTTTGATTTATGATATCAGAGGCAGAGTCACACGCGTGGTTCTTTATGGTCGAAAACTCGCGCCAGCGGGAGTAGGTAGAGTCGAAGCTGGTGTGGTTGAAGTTATGGGGCCAGCCGTAGGTTCTGAAAAGGAGTCTTAGATCTTCGTACTGAATGATGTTAGAAAATAATACAGGTTAATAATTTTAAGATAGAAAGAAATAGTGAAAAGATTGCTATCGAAGTTGAGTACGTAACATTTGGGGTTGAGATAACTTTAGAAAAAAAGTGAATACATCTTCATCCCATTCTGATAACATTTTACGGTCCTCAGAGCTTGGAATCCATTGAAGTTTTAAAAGTCTGTTTGTAAAATCTTCGAAGACCTCTCTAGCGTGGCGGCTGGGAAGATGGTCATGGGAATTGCGATTACGACTTCGGAGACCCTCAGGGAAGTTATGTACACCGGGATCTTCGCTTTCACCAGAATCTTGACCTTCCATTGTTATGTGACCTGGTTTGAGTTAGTATAAATCAACGGATCTAGATTGATATTTAGGAGAGTGGAAGTGAAACATAGATGTAGGTATTCAGGTCAAGTCGAGAAAGGATCTGAGGGGTAGTACAACGAAAGTCTCAACGACGTGAGATATAATGATGACAATTTAAAGCTCTCACCATTTCTTATGTCAAGAAACATCATCGTTCCATGATTTCCACATGCATTGATACAGATTTCCCAAGGTCTCATATACTCCCCGTCTACATCATCAAATCCGCCTTCAGGACAAACAAATCCCGGATCTCGGCTCTGCGTTAACACTTCCAGATCCCTCATATCAGCAAAACTTCCACCAAGGATAAACTCATCTTCATTGTTATACCCCTCTATGTATGGCAGGGCTTGAAGAAGCTCAATGACTTGTTGTTCAAGATCAAAGCTCTTTGCGAGTTCCACGTTGATGGGAGGATCGTGGGGTGCATATTTGATGTAGGAGGCGGGAAAGTAACGCATTTTGGCGAGAAGTTCGTAGTATTGTGTTATAAGTGTTACAATCTCCTGTTGATCATAAACTCCATTCTTCTCGGGCTGACCAAGCAAGGTTATACCAGGGAGTGTTTGCATTTGATAAGACATGATATTCGAATTCGGAGGAAATTTTGGAGACGCGATTCATGAGATGAAAAGGAATGAGTAGGTAGGTATGTTATTAAATTGGTATCATAATAATGAATCAAACTAATGGGACTTTATTTATTTATATACTAGATGAACTATGGATATCACCTCGCGAAGCTTCCCCTTTTCAGGTGGCTGCCTACCACAAAAGGTGGAGCTGGTTGAAGATGAAGTTTTGTCACATGTAAAGTTAATCACATGATATAATCTCACCTCATCGAGAATTCTGCCAAATACACCGCCTAAATCTTCGACTCGAACATCAGCAAATTCAATACATGCAATTTGTTCAAACATAATTTCTTAATGATCTCACCGACTGATTGCCAAGAAGCAAAGCTTTGAGGTCATTGCTTGAATCACCTACTCAATGTTCAGGAGACTGGTTTGTAGAATTTCATTCCACATCTGATGTTCAATTATTGAAGTTTATAGAATCCCCACGGCCGGATACCCCAGCCACTCCGCCGCAATGAACTTCGTCTACCAAGACAGTGGAATAAACTTTTTTCTGAAAAGATAACTCAGTCTCCCACGAGTCATTGGTTATTTGATATTCCTTCAGAATTCAATTCACGAAGCGAACTTGGATTGCCTCTTCCGCATACAGCTGTCCTTTCAAAAGATACAATTGATTGGGACGCTATAGACAAAATCTTCATTCAACGCCCGGGATTAGCTAAAATTGTTATTGGACAAGGTGATTGTGGATTCAGTAAGGTTGTTTTACTTGCTCGTCTGGACGCGTCCATATTGAGTAAAGCACACTGTACCTTTGAGTATGGAATCCGGAGTTATTTTGCAGCGGATGGTCATAGAACCCTGTCTAAATGCAGCCTGACTTTCCAACTTCCTGGTGAAGCTCCTTTGAAATTCGTTGCGTTATCTACCAAAAAGGTAGGGTCAGTCCTTCAAGTAAATTGGAAAGCTTTACTAACCAACAGCTCTAGCGGTTAGCCAGAGGAGCTGCACTTTTGCAACTTTTCTCCATTCTTGAAGAAAAGCAACTATTGGATGACTTGTTGCTCCTCATCTCACCAAAATGGGTTGCCAAAACAGAACAGGAGAAACCCGGTCACAATGTTCAATCCAAAGATACTCAGCCAGCAGTGCCAATCGCAGCAACAGAGACAAAATCAATTCCGGATTCTCCGCTAACACCCAAAGAAGAACCACCAGGAGAACCGAAATCAAAGTCGGCAAAAAAGCCGAAGGAGCTCAGACCGAATCATCTTGTCACGCGTGAAGTGTTTAATTATGCAGCAAAATATCTACATGTCCCGGAATACACTGTCACTTCCCAGAAAGTTTCTAAAAAAGAACACCCGAGTAACCCCGTTACATCAAAAAAGCCTAAACCTCCAAAAAAAAGTTTTACTGTCACTATATCTTTGCCTGAACATAGTATTCATGCAACAGCAACCAGTTTAGATCTCCCACTCACCGAGGCTATGGCATGTACAGAGTTCAAAGTGCAAGCTGAGAAGTACCATATTGCAAATAGCATACCTTCAGATTCATCAGAAGGAGCAATCGTTTTAACCACTGCAAACGTGAGAAATTTTATGGATTTCTATAATGACTACAATGACAAATTAGTCATTCAGTTGGAACGCAAGGTCAACACTTTCAAAAGTCAAGCCTTTACCAGGGATCCTAACACTGCTGCTCTTGAAACACTTGGTCCGGCTATTGAGAGAAGCAGTTCTCGTGACCTTGAAACGTTGACTCTACTAGTTGCTGCAGTCACACTAGTCAAGCAAAGGCCTCAACTAATCTTGGATTATTCGAAAAAGCTGGATGTAAGAACTGGAAAGTACGTGGGCAAAGCTCTTCCTATGAAGCTTGAACTACACCAGACTAGTCTGGATTTAATGCAACGCACGGTAGATACCACCACAAAGCTAAAATTATCAGCACTACCTACTGGTGAATGTAAGGACCATGATGTCTCTCCCTTGGCGGATTATGACAAAATTCGCTTTGAGTATTCTTATGACTGGAAAGTTAAACAACGTTCTAGCGATTTATTCAAGTGGTTTTCTCAACGTCCGCACAAACAGAAATACTCAAAATTACTACCTTTAAACCGGAATTCGTCTGAAGTATTGAATCATATTGAAAACAATCAATTTTCTATTTTAATCGGGAAAACTGGGAGTGGAAAGACGACTCAGTTGTCTCAAATCATTCTGGATGAATACATTCGTACAAAACGTGGTGGAGAGTGCAGAGTCATTTGTACGCAACCGCGAAGGATAGCCGCAAAATCAGTGGCAGAACGTGTTGCTGAAGAACGTGGTCAAATGCTTGGTGATCAAGTCGGTTATAAGATAGGTTTTGATACTGAACTTTCCAATCCTCGCGGAAGCATCACGTATTGTACCACAGGAACCATCTTACAACAATTAATACACCATCCTGATGCTATACTTCACGAAACATCACATCTCATTATTGATGAAGTACATGAGAGAGATCTGGATATCGACTTTCTCTTAACAATGATTAAAAAGCTTGTGAAAGAGAGAATTGAAGCTGGAAAGCCTACGCCAAAAGTGTGCTTGATGAGTGCCACCGCCGACGCCGAGATGCTTCAGGAATATTTCGCTTTCAAAACTGAAACCCGGGAGATTTCCTGTCCAGTTCTGCATGTGGAGGGTCGAGCTTTCCCTGTCGAAAAATATTTTCTCGAAAATATAATGGATACTTTCAGAAAAACATATCCAGCAAATCATACTATCTGGGAAATCCTTGATTCTAACAAGAATAAAGCTTATTTAAAAAGTGAAGAACGAGTTAAGAAGACAGATTTGGTTATGGACGTTAAGAATGAACAGCCTAAATCGGTTATCAAATGGGACAGCCATGACGATGATCCCGATAGTCTACAGAAGCAGATAGCAATGGGACACTTTGGAGGGACAAGTGCCCGATGATCTGGCTGCTATTATGATTGCGCACATAGCGAGTACTACAGAAGATGGCGCAATACTACTTTTCCTGCCAGGCATACGAAGCATCAATACCATTGAAAAAAATCTCAAGACGCAAGATATTTTTAGTGTAAACTTCAATGACGAAAATAAGTTCAAGATCTTAAAATTACACTCCTCTACTGCAGATAAACATCAGGAGGTCTTCGAGCCAGTCTCTCCAGGTTGTCGAAAGATCATTTTAGCCACAAATGTTGCTGAAACCTCAATCACTATCGACGATGTTCAATATGTTGTAGATACTGGAAAACACAAGGAAGACAATTTTCATCAAATGTTACGAATTTGGTCATTGTCTTGTAAATGGGTTAGCAAGTCAAGTGTCAAGCAGAGATCAGGTCGAGCAGGCCGTGTTCAAAACGGCAGTTATTATGGTCTCTTTTCGTGAGTCATCCCTTCAACTCCCTTCGCTTTTTAATATTGACATGAGGCAGAAAACGTCGCTATGATTCCCTTAGAATGACTCCCCGCCCGGGAATGAGTCGCGTCGATTTGCAAAGCACCTGTCTCGCAGTCAAAATCCTGGGTTACAATGAACCTATTCAGGATTTCTTGGCGAGCGCTCCAGAGCCTCCATCACCGAAAGCAATACAGTCAAGTATTGAGGTTCTTCAAACACTTGGAGCACTCACCTTCACGGAAAAAATTACTCCTTTGGGCCGAATAATTGGAATGCTCCCGCTGAGGCCCACACTGGGCAAAATGGTAATTCTCGGAATCATTTTTCGTTGTCTAGATTCTATGATAATTTTAGCAGCCTTCGATAACATAATACTGCATGTGCGTCCACTGGATATGGAAGAAGAATCTGATGCGGCAATGAGAGGATTTGCAAGGACATCCAAAAGCGATCATGTCGCCATGCTCAATGCTTTCCGTGCGCTTCGCGATTTGGAAGAAGCTGATGGTCGCGAAGTCATGACGTCGTTTGCGTACCAGAAATTTCTTAGTGTGGCAAATTATGACACAGTGAAGCGAAACATTGGTTTAATCCAACAAGCGCTTCGAAGAAATGGTTTGGTGCCAACCAAGAGACGCAAGGCGTGGCCGGACTTGGTGAAAAGTATGGCGGAGAGATACTGAATGAGAACTCAGATCAGGATGAATTAATCAGAGCACTTCTTGTACAGGGCTTGCATCCACACGTCGGTACATGGAATAATCACGAAACCAAATATCAAATTGTCGCCAACGAAAAAGTACTCATTGACATACACCCTTCTTCTATCAATCATCCTAGGAAGCGACCTAGCTTGAAAGTTGAAGGAATTACATCGTCATCAAAAGGCAATGCCCAGTTGTTGTCTTTTGATAAGCTTACTCTCCTAAGCAATAAAAACCTTGTTATGCAACGTACAACTGCTGTAACACCTTTTATGGTATCTTTGTTTGGTGGGACGCTGAATCGAAGTGCAGATAATGCAGATCAAGTCGAGGTAGATAAGTGGCTTCTATTCGATGTGCGGAGCACAGACAAGCTGAGATGCGCAGAGGGCGTTGCGGGACAGACCCTCATGCGTTTCAACAAGGCATTGCGACAGCTAGAGAATATTTCTTTTGACGATTTGGCCAACGGTGAATACGTTGTAGACAACGACTTGTCAAATAATTTCGCAAAAGCTTTGAAGGGAATGTTAATTACGGAACAGGATATCGATAGACTTGCGGAAGAGAACGAACTCGACCTTGCTATAAACCTACGCAAGTTTTGGAATCGATCCGAATCGCCACTTGAGAAGATGCCACCAAAAGAACCCAAGGAGATCGTACCAAAGTTTTCACTACTCGAAGAAACACAATATGATGAAGATTCTCACGGGTCTTTTTTTGGATTAGTAGAAAGTGCTTTGGAAGGACCCGAAGTAGCATCTTCCTCCTCACAAGTCCAGTCACAGCGCTCCACGAAAAATGTGGTCACCAAAGAAAGTAATGGAGTTGAATCAGAGAATTCCGAAAATTCTATTCCTTCGAAGTACATGCCTGGATCCAAACTTCTGAACCAACGTCGAAATACTGGAAATGCGCCTCCGAAAGACCGGCTCGGTAGCCCGAAGCCCCCTCCTAAGAAGAAACCTAAAGAAAAAACGATCGATCGCTTATTGCACAACATATTTAAAGGATTGTGAAACTCATATCCGCGAAAGTGAAGAGACTTCCCACAATCGATTTCAATAACCCCGCTTTTAATCATCTCAAAAAGCACCTTTATCGAGAATGGAAGTCTAGAATGTTGCTCCCGGAGATCATGAACAGTACTTCTACGACTGCTTTTGATGCTACCAGACGCGGTCCATGCCGATATCGAAGAATTGAAGGATCATTTCCGAATAATCAAAGCAGTATTCGTACAGCCGCTCTCTATGTTTCTTATCACGATTGAAGTCGCCCCGAAGACCGAAAACATAGTAAGCAACTCTGAGTGTTTTCCCTTGGATGAACAATATCGCACAACATTTTTCAAAAAATATAGCCAGGAACTAGAGACGACGTTCATGAATTCCAGAGTCTCTCTGATAAATCATCACAAATACAATCCATCAATCTACAAAAAATATCTCCGTCTCTCTCCCACACCTTTCCACAAACCTAGCTGAAATCCCAGCTTCTCCCACAATCGAAGATTCGATTCCTTCAGGAAGACTACCAAATCTTCCCCAAGGATATATATAATCTCCACTCCTCTCGGATATCAATTCAGGAGAGAGTACTGCACATAGCTCAGTATAGATCCCGCAAATAGATGGGTACACTGTGAATTTATCCTGTGACCTTGGATATGGCCATGCGTGTAATCAGTTGCGTCCAGATGGGGGTAGCGTATGAAAATGATCATGGTGCTTTATTAGACATGTAATGTGATGATGGAAGTTGGGAGACTGGTTGGATGGAGAAGTACTTAGTGTAGATCTGATGGGGTAAAGATTGGGAATCACGCAGTGACTACTGCGATGGCAGTTGTAGTGTTTTTATTGCGAAAGATATCGTCGGGTTCAATACTGAAGCGTTAGGATATTATTGAAAACACTTGAACCTAGATACGGCTGTGTATGATATGAAGATGCGATCCACAATTGGATTGTGAAATGATTATAAATATCTGTTGTTGTAGAAAAGATAACGTGAGGTAGCTTGCTTGCAGGCTCTTACCAGTTGGAGCTTACGAGAACGCAATGAAGAAGTATGAATGTCAAAACTATCCATGGATCAGTTAATCAACAAAGGTACCGATAGATAGATAAACAACGTGATAAGTATATCATCAAATAAGATTACAACCAGCATACACAAATCCGCCGCGAACAAAAAACGAAGCGCGAAAACAAGTCACGGGATTCAAAAACCTATTAGCCAATCCGTCCATACCAGTCCAGTACACGATTTTCCAAACACCATCTCAAAAAACCCGGGAATAAAATCTGGAAAGTATTCTTATTCCCAGTTTCGTAAATGTGCCATCTATTTCAACGATTTGAGGATGGTGTCTTGATAATGGGTTGGATGTTAGGGACAAAAATTAGATGTGCAACAAAAGGATTTTATTTTGGGGGATGGGCACGTGGTTATGACTAAGATTACTTGGGTATGGTGTGACTAAGGTGGTAAGTTGGTGTATCGGTGGTGGGGTGATGTCATAGATGGGAAACGTGATGTGTGGTCAGGTGTGTTGTATGGAGTAATGGTAATTGTGGATGGGGAATGGGGAATGTTGAGAGATTGATAGAGAGATTGATAGGGAGAATTTTTTCTTTGGTAATTACTATATTCGAGTAGGTCCACGGGTATTCCAAACCTGGGTTGGTATTCTAATATCATAATTGAGGAATCTAGGAACATGTTCTCAGCAATCACGTGAGACTATTGAATTTGGAATTACATTAGAGTACCGGTACCTTTCCTATCGGATGAAACTTTACCGTACATTTACGGTATAACCTGCTCAAGTCAATGCAGACCCAAAAGCAAAAGCAAAAACAAAAGCTTAAGCTTAAACTCATTGCAACCCCATAAACATGTGATCGACATCAATCTAGCTATTTAACCCGGGGTACGGAAGTCCATCATGATGTCAGTGCTTTCTAATTGTATTGTGATTACCTAGGTAGGTATACAATGTGATTGTGGCTTAGAATCCTTCATCCAAGCGGTTTTCAGCTGTGCAAGAAAGGCGAAGCACCTGGGCATGTACGGAGTAGTAGGTACGAACACGCAATCAAGAAGTCTGGAGATGGATGCATGCACCAATGAGATGATGGATGGGGAAGCTTGTGGGTTGCTGCGCCGAGTTTGGAAGATGGATGTGAATCATGTGATGAATCCGAATATCCGTTTGGGAATTTGGTGGTAGGGATGTATTGTGTGTTGAGGGAGGAATGATGGGGAATCAACGGAATTGATGGAATTGATGAGAGCAAAATCACTGCGCCAAAATACTACGCGTCCATACCATATTGTCTACCTACCCAAGCACACATTGATGTAAAGACCCGCCTCCAAAGCTCCAAGCTCGTAATCAGGGAGGAGTGAAAGAGTGAAGTTTGAATAAAGAAAATACTAGGTCGGCTCGGCAGATTGTAGATCCACACACTATCCCACACTATTAACCAAGAAAAGGTTGGATGCCATGCTTTTTGCGCAGAGTGCCATGAAACTAAGGTACTGGGTTTGGAGAGAGGTACCAGTTGTTGGAGGATAAGAACCTTGGAAAAGTTGGATTTTGTTATTCACTTTTTGTGACTTCTTGAATTTCATTTGGATTGTTAAGATTGTTTTATGAGGATTTCTTTTGAGATTTGTAACGCATTACAATACAAGATAATACAACGACATTCGATTTCAATACTATTCAGTAACTTCAGAAAGAAAAGAAGCCAAGAGAGATCAACAATATGGGTGTTCTTCCAATTGATACACGTGAAGCTCTTCATTTGAATGAGCTCACTTCGAGAGCGAGATGTTATCGCAATGGTTATGGGTTCGTATTCTCTCATTGTTTACTCCTTCCTTTTGATTCATTCGAATCATCAAATTCATCATTTCAATCAAAAACTAACTCCGATCACAGTTATTACAGATGTAATTCCGCCTGGAGTCGCTTCGGTAGATGGATTCTCGCTGGTGTTTTGATCTTCGTCGGTCTCATATTACTTTTTGCCATCATGTAAGTATCAATCGTTCCCATTCCCATCTCTCCAACCCATACCTAACAACCCCAGGTGCATATCCAAACGTCGTCGTCGCCGCAACCAAATCAGCTCCACGAATCAACCCATGGCATACACTCAACCCGCTGCCACCTATGGTCAAGCACCCGCTAGCTACAATTATTCACAGCCGCAACAATCATATGCGCCGCCGGCGGGTGCACCACCGACGTATGGTGGTGCGCATGCGGGTGCGAATGCGGATTATTATGGGACGAGTGGCGTGACGCAGCCGGCGAATACTTATGCTAAGTAGAGGGTTGTGAAGGAGGATGGGGAGGGGGGAATACATGATACTGGAGAGTGGTGGGTGGGGAGATGTATTGCGGACGTATTGGTATGAGTGATACGATGATACAATTGCGATTGCGAATGCAAATGCTGGATAATGATTAATGGATAATATGTTGGCGTTAGCGCTGGTTTCTGGATGGTTGGATGGATGGATGGACGGGAGGGATATGGGTTTACAGAGGTTTCAATGATAATTCATTCATTTATTCATTCATTCTACTCATGTATTTGTGATGCTTATGGAACTCTATTACTGTGAAGATCTCTGTGGTATTGCGATGATATGGTACGCAATATATTCATATAGCTCCTTTCAGTCACTTTGGTCGTGTAACTTATGGGCTTTCATACTCTTCCAATCCAATTCCATCTCTTCTGTGATTGATATTACCTAGTATACTATCCTCTCCTGCACGATTGATTCATCATAAACCCGAATCAAATCACTAGGTTAGGTAGTACCTCAATATATCTCAAAATCTCCCACTTGAAAAAATGTGGCTTGATACTTCCTTGCGCCACCTGGGCTCCCAGACGCAGCCACAGCCACTTCGGGGATCTCCAGCTAGGTACTTACCTAGCGTTGAATTTGTAGCGTGAGAGTGACATCCTATCTGGGTGGGTACCCATCTAGCAGGTTAAGTAGGTATTCTTCCTCCTATGCGACGTTGAAAAGAAAAACAACACACACCGATAGGTAGGTCGCACAAGAAAAAGCGATATCAATAGCGGTGTCAATGGCGGCGTCAAACAGATCATCAATTGCGAGGTTGGTTACTGGGTTTGATATTTATTCTTTCTGTTAATCCCTTTCTAGTAAGTAAAATCAATCCCAGCTGGAGACCCAAAAGGAAGTTTAGTTTCTCAGAGAGTTCAGAGCAGATACCGATACGGCAAGGAATATCGTTACATCTGATCTCAAGATATTTACATTCCAGTAGCCCATGCGAATACTGACATCTTTCTGATGTTTCCTTTTTCTGTTGAGGTAGTATTATCAATATCTCCATATACAGATAATTCCACAGGACGACAGATCAGCAGTGTTATCATATTATGCCATTCCTTCAAGGAAAAGTAAATCGTTGCCTTGATATGTTTGAATATCGAAAGTACTCTTAGCTCGAATGCATTATATTTTATCTCACTGGGTCCGATTCCTATCACAATATTATCAATATCCGTTTGGCCCGCAGAATCAAAATTTTCAACGGCAGTCGGCAGTCCATTCTCAGAAGAAAGCCTGGAAAATGGCTTTGCGTACTAAGACTCTTCGACGGCACGGACGTGTAGGTTGTCGGGAAAGTATGAGTTTCTTTTGAGAGCGTTTGCAATGCGGGGATTTGAAAAGGACCTGTCATGGTCTTGGAAGTGCGTACCCGTTGATTTGGAAAAATCCCTCAGCCAGTGCCGATCATTAATATGTTGAGAAGAAGTCTGAGATATGTCAGTTGTCGTCAATTTCTACACCTATGCAAGGCATATTATGAGAATTATTCCTTTATATGTTGATGGTTGGTTAGTTGACCTATCAAGACTCTCTGTACATACCAATGGGGAAGCATTTTTTGTGGAGGCCTGTAAAAAGCATGGAATGAGAACCTGCAGTACACACCGACGGGAGTCATTGCACACCGGTAGTCTGGCAAAGCAAATCTCTTATGCGTTTGCTGTGGAAAGTATGTAGATATCCGAAGAGTGCAAAATATGCAAAGCATGTCTCATCACTCAGCCATACTCTCTATCAAATTGACAGGATTACAAACGGGGAAGTGTGAAAATTTCTACCTAGGACTATTGTTGGAATGCTACTTCTACTCTCAATTCTTTTCAGTATCTGAGCCTCACTCTCAAACTTCGCGATTCAGCATTCAAATTCTTACATCTTCTTCAATCTACTCGAAAATCTATGAATCATGTCGGCTTCATTTTATACTCCATTGAAAGAGAGCGAAATACGAGTTCTCGAGATATTACCATCCGAAGATTTCTCCGAGACCATCAACACTACCTGTCGCATTATCTTTCTGGCATCTGATACTTCTACTGAGGCCTATGTTGCATTGTCATATACATGGGGAGTGCCTAATAATACTTCCTACATCCGCGTCAATGGTTACGAACATAAAGTCACTCCCAATTTAGAGTCAGCTTTACGGCATCTAAGAGGCGACAAGAACAAGATTGTTATTTGGGTGGATGCTGTTTGCATCAATCAGAATGACATTCCCGAGGGAGATAGACAACTACAAATGATGGCGGACGTCTACAAGAAAGCTGAAATGGGGCTTTCGTGGTTAGGGGAGGAGTCTGATGATAGCTCTTTGGCGCTCAGAATGATCCAAATATGGGCCTCATTTTCGATGGATAAGCAGTTACTAGATTGCCGCCTACGCGAATTCTTCGAAAGCAAATTAGAAGATGAAATACTCATGCCAAAATCTATCACCGCTCTTAACAATCTACTACGCAGACCATATTGGAAGCGAGTCTGGATACAGCAAGAAGTTGCCCTACCTCCCATAGTTACGATGCAATGTGGGCATGAATGTCTATCATTTGATGTATTGAGTGATTTTACTTGCACAATATCAATAATTCGACTTATTTGCTGGATGTCTAGCTATAATTGGCTTAATCCTGACTTGATGCCTAAGGAGATGGATTTCGCACCATTGTTTAATTTGTACATTTGCCGAAAATCAAAATTGGTTGATTGTACGAGAGACAAAACTTCATCATTATTGATTAATCTTTCGTTATCTCCAATCCTCAAAAGCACTGATCCGAGGGATCACATTTACGCACTTCTTGGACTTCCTCGTCTCGAAAAGTATCGATCGCTTCTTAGCCCAAGCTATAACAAGTCAGTTTCACAGGTGTTTTCTGAAGCTGCCCGTATCATGATTGAGGAGGAGAACAGTCTGCAGCCTATAGCTATCGCTTGCAGCTTATACCGCCCGGACGTTTCACTGCCATCTTGGGTGCCTGACTGGGCAGCTCTTAGACACAGATCCGCTCGTAGCAGACTTGGGGGGGAAATTCTTGGCCCTGTAGCTAACTTATCTGATTTCGTCAGTTTTTCAGCGGATGGACAAATTCTATCAGTCACTGGTCTTTTACACGATGAAGTGTCTTTTTTGAAGGGATGTTTTACCACTACATCAATGATGAGTCACGGCGAGTGGAAAGTTTTATCTGATCTCAAAGATAATTCGTTACCAAATGGTCTCCCGGTCTTAGAGGCTGTATTTCGTATTTTCGTGGGAATAAATGCCAACGCTACCCTTGATTCTTATCGGAGAGAAAACAACTCAAAGTTTACCTTCGAAGCTACAACCTTTGCGGCGATAATGTGCGACGGAACAAATCTGATGAGTATGCTTCAGATCCTTCTCGGTCAAGATTTACCCAAACCCCCAGAAATTGATCAATTTAACGTAGCACCAGCCTTCGAGAAATTTTTACAGCTATCTGGCCGAATGTTTTTCGTGACAAAGAATGGGACACTAGGGGCCGGGCCTCCTGATTTGATTCCAGGGGACAAAATATTCCATTTGATCGGGTGGCCTGAAGATTTTATCCTACGAAAGGTCAACGAACATTATCGCCTGATCGGGGATACCCGGATTGCTCGGGCAGAACTTCCTCCATATTCTGATGGTGGTTATGAGACTGTTGAGATTCACTGACTTGCATTGCAAATTGGATGATACCGCCTGGGTAGTGGGTGAAATACTTGATCTCTATCCTGGAAGGTCCGATGGGAGGTTTCTGGTATCATTCGTTGTTTTCAAAAAGTATGCAGCGGCATCCCACCATTTTTTGCTCATGTAGGAAAGGAGTTATGATTTTGCAGAGACTCGTTTGGTTGGTTTCGGGACGAGAACACGTGATATGTGTCGGTCAAGCTGGGTTGGGTTATTGTCAGATCGAGGAGTTCATCTTGTTCCTGGGTTTTTTTTGTTTTGGATACCTACCTGCCATATTGCATGTATTGATGATTTTCTGTATATTAATGAGTGTACTCTGGTGATTATGGGTATCTTTTTGTTTTCTTGTTATTCAGGGGCTGGGTTGGGGGTTTTAGGGTAAGGGTATTGGCACCTGGTGTTTTGTTTTTGATACCTGCTATATGTATTGATGAGTACACGTTGGCGTTTTTCGAGCATCTCTGCATTTCTTATATACCTTTGTGCTGGGTGGGGATTTGTAGAGTAAGAGTATTGGTGTTGGGTGTTTGAGTTCATGGAATTTTATTGGTGGTATGATAGTGGATGGGTTGTTTATTGGCGTTGGAACTATGAGGTAAAATTTATGTATGAAATCATTTCGATTCTCAACACTTGAGGTTTTAAAATATAGTCAGTCTCGAAACAAGTGTCCTATGATTTATGATTGATATCAAAAGATTCACATCTCACTACTTATCAATCCCCTTCACTCATTTCTCCGTTTCTGCTTTCTCCATCCCCCTCCTCTGCTCTGCTCTCCCAACCTATCTAACCACAACCCCCACCCTCGCTCTCAAATCCTGCACACTAAACCCGACCGCAACCCCTATCTCCCCCTCCGGCACAACCCAATCCCCCAATTCCGTATCCCAAAAACTTACATCTCTCCTCTGCACCACAAACACCACTTCTTTCTCCTCTCCCCCGCTCATCTCCACCTTTTCAAACCCGCGCAGAACTTTCTTCGGGGTTCCTTCGGGTGTACTTTTTTCTGGGAGAGAAATATATAATTGGAGAATTGTAGCACCAGCTCGCGCTCCTGTGTTTTTAACGCTGGTGGTGAGGGTGAAGAGGGGGGTATACAGATCTGCGTTTCCGCCTGGGAGGATGGGGGAGAGGGGATTGGGACGCGCGGTGACGGATTGATTTGTGAGGTTTTGGATGGAGGGAGAGGAGGTGAGATTGAATGTCGTGTAGCTTAATCCGTATCCGAATTCGAAGAGGGGAGTTACATTTTTCATTTCGAAACCTCGGTAATCGATTGCGAGGCCTTCGGTGAAATCACTTTGCCAGGCGTTTTGTCCCTGGGCTTGGACTTCGGTGACGCTGAGATTCACGATGGGGATATGCATGTCTGTTTCGTGGAGGGGGATTGTGTAGGGGAGTTTTCCGGAGGGGTTGCTGTCCCCGAAGAGGATGTCGACGATGGAGTTTCCGGATTCTTCGCCGGGATAGTGCGCGAGGAGGATGGCGGAGATGTTGGGGTTTTGGGCAAAGGGGAGAGTGTTTATTCCGGAGGAATGGGTGATGACGATGGTGTTGCGGTGACAGAAAGATGCGACGTTGTTTACGGCGAGGGTGGAGTTCCAGTCTAGGGGGTAGGATTCACGGTCTACGCCTTCTGAAGAGAAGGTTTTGAGGAATACGAGACAGATTTCTGGGGTGGGGTAGATGCTGCCGAAAGAGGAGGTGGAGAGGAGTGCGTTGTTGGTGAGATATTGGATGCGTGCTCCGTATGTAGCGGCGCGGTTTCGGAGGGCGGTAAGGGGGGATATGAGGGTGGTGTGACGAGCGGAGCCGGATCCACCGCCGATATCGAGGGTGCCGATGTCGAAGCCGTTGTGGAGGTCTGATTCCGGCCAGGTAAGACCACCGATAGGATCTGGGGCGGAATTACCGAAGACGCCTACGTTTAGGGGTTTGGATAATGGGAGGATGTTGTTTGTATTTTTTAAGAGGACGGTTGCTGCAGAGCCGATTTGTCGGATTAGAGAGGAGTGATTAGCGCGGACGTCACGGGCGGGAATTTGGGCGCCGAAATCATAGCCGTACATGTTTGCCATGACGTATGTTTGGCTCGGGTCGGGAGTGGGATAATCGCTGTCTTGATTGAGGAGGAAATAAGATGTCATGATTCGGGTAGCCATATCGTCTAATCTATCTTCCGTCATATTACCTGCCTGGATAGCGGAGATGAGATGAGGACCGAAATATGTTTCGCTGGTGGGGATGGCGGCTTGAGAAACGTAGCCGGGCATATCTATATCGAGACCGGCGTTTGCGGCAGGATATCCGGAGTGTGTGGCGAAGAAATCCGAGACGACGTAGCCTTGGAATCCCAATTCGCCTTTCAGGATATCGTTGAGTAGATGCGGATTTTCACATGCGTAAGTTCCATTGATGCGGTTATAGCTACACATTATTGAAGTGGTACCAGCACGTACTGCATCTGCAAAAGGCCAGAGATATAATTCATGAAGGGTTCGATCATCGAAATTGGAAGAAATCGCATCGATGTTTGTTCCGTCTGGAAGTTGGGAGTTTGTTCGTTGGGTTTCCTGCTCATTGCCGATGAAATGTTTGGAAGAGGTTTGGACCCCAACGCTTTGCATGCCGGTTATGGAAGCGGTCATTAGATGACCGGTGAGATAGGGATCAGGGGAAAATCCTTCCCAATTGCGACCTCCCAAGGGATGACGAACGAGGGGTCCTGCTACTGGTCTTGGGGATTTTTAGTTATGGTCCAGACAATGATGTTTTCAAGATGGATCGGGAGAAAAGCATACCCTAAAGCAACATGCGCACCCTTCCCTCTAAATTCCTCTCCCAGTGCCCTGTGACTTTGGTATACCAAGTCACGATCCCATGTTGCAGCCAATGTGACACCAGAAGGAAAAACACTGATGAGATCCTGACGAGCAACAGCGGCGGGCCCATCGTTCAAACAGATTCCTGTGAAATTGAGACGCGGGATGGGACTGACGTTCCCGATACAATTCACGAGTTCACCTTCGAGAGTAGTAGCATGGTAGGTTCCTGTTACTATGTTTGATTTTTCGGTAATGTTTAGTTGACTGACGAAATTGCGGGCGAGCTCCTGGGCGTGGGTCCAGTTTGGGAGGGGGGTGCTGGGGATATGTTAGAAGTGTGAGGGACATAGGTTAGGGAAAGTGAAAGAGGAAGTGAAAGTGGATAGGAAGAGACGGAGATGGCGTATTTGGTAAAGTGTATCAAGCAAGGAAGCTTGGGAGGTGTGGAAAAGACACAACGCCTTGTCTATTTGTTCAAAATTCAACCATGCGAAGATTGATTCTCAAATGTTGAATTGGACAACATGAAACTTCTCTATATCCGAGTTGAACTAACTGGACAATAGGAGTATCTCCTATCCATACACCTTGAGACTCTGAAACCTCACACCTCGTACTTTCTTGCTACAAGAAGCCAAAATGAAACAACTCACAAGCAAAAGAATCACCCGAAGTAGCTGCAACTTCACTTCCCCCAGCCCAAAAATATATAACCGCGCACAAAGAAGGTAAAAGTCTCATCTTGATATAAGTTAAGAAATCGTACATGAGATGGAGGAAGAACTCTGTCTTTCGCTCTTCATGTATTATATTTATATCCATTGTGGGAAATTACGAGCCAGAGCTTAATTGAGGATTATGATATGTTGTCATTCTCCTATTCATTTCTGTATCGTAATTTGGATGAATAGAATGAAGGAATGGGGTCAATAGACAAGTTACTAATCGTAATAGCATTTCGTGTGGAGGAACGAACATCTTGGCGCTCGAATACGCGTATAGAAAGAGACTAAGCGCGTATAGAGAGACTAAACGCGTATAGAGAGGCAAACCGCGTATAAGAATGTATGAATGCCAATCATACTTTCAAGATTTAGAGATCTTCGACATCTTTGCCTCAAAATATGGAGAAGAACTCTGAAGAGTTCCGATGGTATATATAGCCAATTATAATACAAAATAAATCGTAGAAATATATAAACAGATGACCGGGACAAGCAGGAATAGCTTGGCGGTGAGAAAGATATATATACGCCACTCAACTTTAAGCAGATATTGACACATCGTATGTAATGCCTACAGTGACTGACCATCATGGGCGATGGTAGTAATGCAGACTCATGACTGTAGAGAAGAAGAGCATGACAAAAAGTCTAAGGATGTAGTTCAGACCCAAACTGATTGAACTATAAAGTCATAGTCATAGACTTATTCAATCAAATAAGACATAATTTGGATGTCAGGGACAAGTTTTTGAAGATTGAGAGAGGAGATACCTAGTAAGTTCAGACGTGATGGTAGAACTCGATGGAAATGTCACTTGACATTTAGTCACATGATGCAGAGCTTTGTCAGTCTAGTCCCAATTAAGTTTAGCGTTTGGAAACTGACGAAATACTTGGCGATTCTTCTCCCTTTTCCCTACTTTACGTCTTTGTGGCTCATGTTCTCTTCCATGTTATTTATCAACAGCGTAGAACCAATCAATTCGTTGCTGAACCAATTTTGAAACCTTGAATAACACACCGCACCTGCTACTTCTTGTCATAATATGACGGATGTCTTCACCCTAGATAGAAGGTACATCCCCACCTCATCTCCGCCCCCGGATCGATAGCTTTGGCTATCAGCTATAACTACCGAAAGCACCGATGTTTCCTATCCCGCCTTAAACCACTCAATATGCTAAACACATGCAGTCGCCATTAACCCTTTTCATCTCCACCTTGAATCAATTTGCTGATTCTTCCAATCATACACGCTGCTCAGCTTCCCAGCTCTATATTAATCGGGCTCGATTAATCTTCAATACGTACGCGTGGGGATGATTGTGGCGACGATGTTCTGTTGAACTCGGGGAGAATGCGGGGTTGGTGATTGGTTTGTGGGGCTCAAAACAATACAACTCAAGATGATGTTAGGGTTTCT